TATATATATATATATATATATAATATAAAATTGAGAATGTTGTATCATAAATTTAGAATATTACAACCTGTCTCTTGAGTATTGAAGATTGACATACAACAATTCCAATACCCAAGAAATGGAGACAAGGAATACTACAAAGTTAAAGTATCATTGAAGATGCTTGTGACAAACATCCATGGCAACAAAGTCAAATTTTGAAATTTTAATTGAGGGAGGAATTGTTGGGAAAACAATTCAAATTTTTAAATTCAAATCTCTAAGATAATATTTAGATTTTAAAAGATATTGATTCTTTTAGAATATTGTTTAGAATTGAAATATATTGTATTTATTTTAGATATTAGTTTCCTTTTTTTTTAAAATAGTGATGTAAGGTTAATAAATAGAGACTCTTGAGATGAGAAGAACCACCTGACCTGTAGAGGGGGTCACCGCCTTAAATGAGAGAGAATGTCATATGAAGGAGGATTTCCAAGTTTTACCAGAAAACTTGTGAATGATGGTTTTCAAGTTTCGCTAGAAAACTATGAGGAATGGATTTCCAAGTTTCACCCATAAAACTTGGGAGGAAGGGGGTTTCCAAGTTTCACCAGAAAACTTGTGAATGATGGTTTTCAAGTTTCGCCAGAAAACTATGAGGAATGGATTTCCAAGTTTCACCCATAAAACTTGGGAGGAAGGGGTTTCTAAGTTTCACCCATAAAACTTGTGAAGAATGGGTTTTCAAGTTTAACCCACAAAACTTGAAGGGAGGATTTTCAAGATATATGTAACACATTTTGAAATAAACAATGAACATCCATGTGGATGTAAACATGAGGAGCTGAACCACGTTAAATAAATTTGTGTGATCTTTTCCTATTTCTTTTATGGTGTTATCACTAGTGGAAAAAAGACTTTTAAAATCGTTCATTTTTTACTTTTAAAATCGGTTCTGTAACCGATTTTGAAAGAGCCAATTTTAAAAGTTAACTTTTAAGATCGGTTGTTTTATAACCGATCTTAAAAGTCTAAACTGGAACGGCCCGTTCTAAAACTGGAACGGGCCGTTCCAATCTGATCAAAAGGCCTAAAAGTGAACTTTTAGTATGGCCCAGAACGGCTCGTTCCCAATGGAGAACGGCCCGTACTTCATGGAGAACGGCTCGTACTCCTTGCAGAACGGGTCGTTCCAGGTTCAAAATTTACCCAACTGAAAATTGAGATGAGAAAAACATCAGAAAACGAAAAAAAACACAAGAACATAAGAAGACGAAAATGACAACGAAATTTACCTTATTGGAGACTTTAGAAAATGAGAAAGATTAAAGAAAATGAGAATGGAGGGGAATATAAAACATTTATGATGATACCTTTAAAATCGGTTATTTAAGAACCGATTTTGTATACTACATACAAAATCGGTTTTGAAATAACTGATTTTAAAAGTAACACTTTTAAGATCGGTTATAAAAGAAGCGATCTTAAAAGTGGCACTTTTAAGATCGGTTATAAATGAACCGATCTTAAAAGTACTTTTAAGATCGGTTATTTTATGACCGATCTTAAAAGTGCCACTTTTAAGATCGGTTCCTTTATAACCGATCTTAAAAGCACTTTTAAGATCGGTTCTTTTGTAACCGATCTTAAAAGTGCCACTTTTAATATCGGTTCTTTTATAACCGATCTTAAAAGTACTTTTAAGATCGGTTAATATTTAACCGATCTTAAAAGTGTTCATGTTATTTACAAAATTGTCACTGCGTCACTTTTAAGATCGGTTACCTTGTAACTGATCGTAAAACTCCGATTTTAAATCTAATTTTTGCACTAATGTATTTTAATATATTTCTCATCATCATTATTGTGCATAAAAGAAAAGAAATTTTTTTTGTTCCCAACAATAATAAAGGTTTGAGGGGATGAATAATATATATTGGCACTCACATTCTATAATGGAAATGGTCACACTCACCATAAAAGGTTCACATTTTATGACGAGTATGGTCAGATCCATCATAAAATTAATGTGTAATTTTCTGTTACAAACGATTTTTGTGTTGATTTTACATGAGATTTTACAATATGTATTATATGTCACTATAATCTCTATTTATAGAAGGTTCACATTCTATAATAGGTATGGTCACACCAATCATATAATATGTATTTTTTTTAATATATTACACACGATTTTAATATTGATTTTGAATGAAATTTAACAACATATATTATATGTCACTATAACTTATATTGACACTTTAATAATATATCATTATATATTGTATTTATAATATATAAGTAAAAGTGATTTTTAATGACAAATATTATATCACTATATGATATATATCACTATATAACAAATTTTTTTATAGTGAGGTCAATACTTTAGTTTCGTTTAAGAGCATCTCCAAGCAATCCCCCTTGCCACATCAGCCCATTTTCTCCTCTTTTCTTAAGCACCGGAGCTTGTACAAGAAATTTTGATAAAATTTAAGCAACTCAAATAGGCTGATGTGGTAAGGGGGTTGCTTATAAGCAACCCCATTGGAAATGCTCTAAGCTCTTATATATATATATATATATATATATATATATATATATGAATGTATGTTTTTTAACAATTTACTATGATTCAAAAGAAACAACAGTAAAATGAATAGGATTAAATTTTATATAAAAAAAATACTATAACTTTGAACTAAACTTTAAATCAGTTATGTACCAAAAAAATCTTTAAATCAGTTTCTTATATAATTGCCATCTTTGTACATTCTTGGAATCGGTATTTCCCTTATATTGTAGTAATTGCCGTCTTTTCTCATTTTTGGCTATTGCCCATTTCTACTTCCATCATCTTCTATGCATCATCTTCCATACAGTGCCTCCAAACAAACTTGAGAAGTAAAGAAGTCACTTGCACGTCACACGCTTTTCTGTGTATGATACATCATACATGAGTTGTGACTTTCAAGTTAAAGTAAAGATAAGAAACTGAAAATCAGTAACTAATTTACACTCGTGAAGAGTGATTTTCACTGTCAAAACATTATACGAAGTTAACTATATAATAAGAAGAAGTGCCCAATAATTGTTTAAGAAGGTCTGAAACAGAAAACATTCGCCTCATAAAGCAAAACAAACTAGCCGACTCCATATACATACAAAAGCAACCCTATACCCAACAATTTGTAGTTAGTGAAAGTATTATACCAATTACCAAAGTAACGTCAAAGTGAATGAATGAATGAAGCTAATTAAACTGTTTCCTTTTGGAACCAAAGCTAGCTCCTACGTCTGTTCCTTTTCTCCTTTGGTTAATTGTCAAATTTATTCTATATAACTATAGGTGAACTTGTTGATGCTACAATTTTTTTGGTTGTTTGTGTACTTTCACTACTTTGTTAAATTCAAGCTTCTTTTTTTCTTTGTTCTTTAAATTGGTTAGAGAGTACACAAGATGGAGGTCATACTTTTTCTTGTGTGGAATGGCTTCTTGGGATATAATTTCCTATTATTTCATATTACTTACGTTATTCACTTGTTATCCTACTACTCCATATCATTCTTCAGGAAAGACAGTAACTCAATATACCATTTTCCCTTGTCTCTCTCTTCTATGTTACAATTTCTTAATTATATTTCTCTAACTTCTCTTCAAACAGATGATATATATATAAGGATCATCGTCTTATAACCATCATCATTACAAAGAGAGAAAAAGATACGAGAGTTCAAAGGCGAAATCTTCATAAAATGGCTTTCCACGTCGGTCAATCATTTTTCTTTGGAATTTTATTTTTATGCGTTGCTTTGGTCCTCATTCCAGGTAATAAATAGAGGTTATAATTTCGTCTCATGTTTTTTTTTTCTACAAAACAATTAATTAACGGAAATTGAAAAATATTTTGTATCGTTTTAGTGTTATTTCTTCTAAGTCTCTTTTTATTCATGAAAGATTTTGATGTTAGGCAAGTAACATCAATTAACAAATTTTTTAATTAATTTTTAATTTCTATTATCATAAACTATTTAAGGAACACGTTAAATGAGAACAATTATAATATATTAATTATTGGGTGAGAAGAGATCACAACTTTGATCCCATAAACAACAAGAGCATAAAACGAGCTGAATTTTACTTAATTATTTAAACTCTTTTTTTTATCCATCAGAATAGCAATGAAAATATCAAAGTTCAGACATAATCCTTTGTATATTATCCTAACTCTCACTATTGAGCCGAAATTGAATAAAGTCTTTAATTATTTCTCCAGATTTACAATATCAAATTATCAATATATTAGCTATTCAAATATTTTTTTTCATTAGATGTGTTCATTAAAAGATTAATATATTGTCATATTAATCTTTTAAATATTTTGTTAACATATTCACTTGGTATAAAATTGATCAACGTAATTATATTCGTTTTGTTAGGTCATTGTAAGGCGGTAAAATAAGAACGACTATTTAGTGAATGCTTACATTTTTTTAATAGAAAAAAAATATCTACAGAAAAAGTAATGCAATGACATTTATTCTTTAGAATAACAATTAGATGAAAAAAAAAGGTTCGAAAATATTACTCATATATATGTTTTACAAGATCACATAATCATTCATTTCATATCATTCATAATTAAGCTTGTTGTGCAAGTTTGAAATAAATAAATGTCACAAAAATTTAAATAAAAAAAAAACACATGTAAAATGAATGATTATTAACTGTATTGACTTTAGAGTATGAGAATTACACGAGATGATTATAGGACGATCGTGCGCACTCGCTCACCTAATCTATTAGTGCAATGTTATTTACCTTTACAATGCATCCCATATTTATATGATTATAATTGACTAACTAACTAAACAGAAATGTAAACTAACTAACGAAGTAAGGAACATGTGTCATAATTAACAATCTCCACCTTGACACGAGACCTTACAATACAATGTTTATGTCTAACAATCTACATTGAGCAAGTCCAAACAATGCATAAATTTTCTCCTAGGAATGGTCTTTATGAAAATATATTATGGGTTATCCATTTTGTCAGTCTTCTACAATTCATTCCTTTTCTTAGTATGAACGAAGTAGTATTGAACATCAATGTGTTTGGTTCGATCATGATATACTTGATCCTTGGTCAAATAGATTCTGTAACGTAGTTAGTAGACTGGAACGGGATGTTACCAAGATGGAACGGGTCGTTTCAAACTACTAAAACAAGAGTGATTTAGTAGCCCAGAACGGGCCGTTCCAAACTACTAAATGGGCCTACAAATCCTAGTTGAGAACGGTCCATTCTGGTTTAAGAACGAATCATTCTGCATGTGAGTTTTACACATGATGAAGGGTGCAGAACAAGCCGTTCCAGATTCGAAACAGGCCATTCTGGCCACTGCAGAATTCTATAAATAGGCCTCATGCATGCAAATGAGGAGAAAGGAAGGGAACTTAGAAACAAGTTTTAGAGAGAAGTTTTAGAGAGAAGGACTCTGAGCTAGGAAGCTTGATTTTGAAGGATTGAAGTTTGGGAGTCGAGCTCAGAGGAAAGTTTTTCTTATTCTCAAATTCTTGGCTGTTCAGAGTCAATCTTCAAGTAAGGGAAGCTAAATTTTAGATTTGTTAGTCGTGTGTGAGTTAAGAACTCATTTGGTGCATGAATGTTAAGAAATTAGTGGTTGGATTGATGAACATCTCATTTTTCGGGGTTTTGGGAAAAATGGATTTTTTGATGATTTTGATGTCTTGAAAAGTTGCATGTTGAATCTGAGATTTTTTTTGAGTTATATGAAGTTTATGCTTGCATGTGGTTGAAGTTGCTGATTTTCAAGTTTTGGGTGCTTAGGTTGTTTGGTGTTGTTTGGGTGTGTAAGTTGGCGTGATAGATGAGTTGTAAACATGTAGTATGAGTTGTGTTATGTGATGAAAATGTTGTGTGTTGATAATATATGATTAAATATTTATTAATGATGTTGTTGGTAATTAATGTTTGTGATAAAGATGGGATGTAAATGAGATGCATGTTGTAGTTGAGTTGTGAAATTGTGTAATTGTGTATGGGTGTTAAATGAGTTGTTGTGCTAAATAGAAATGTGTTGAATATGTGTTATGTTGTTAAAATTGCTATATGTTATGTGTGGACTATTTATATATTACGAAATATGATGAGACAATCTAGTTGAGAGTTGTGAAGTGCATGATGATAATATTGTGAGTTTTGAGAAGCATGATGTGAAGTGTGTAGATGTGTTGAGATTTATATAGAAGTTATTAGTAGACTGTGTTGCTAATAAGTTGTTAGAGGAGAGTTGTATGTTGCTATAAAGTTGTATGATGTGTCATGTGTTGAAAATATATTATTTTATGATGATTGAGTTGTAAATTCTGAGTTGAGCTGATAAGCTATTGAGTTGACTGTGTTGTTTAAAGTTGAAATGAGTTGATAATTGAGCTGATGAGATGATAACGATGTTGTTAAACACTGTTGAATTGTGTTGTTAAATTTGTGAATTGACCACATTGTTTAAGTTGAAAGTTGATTGAGATGATGAGTTGGAAAGTTATATGTTGTTTAAGTTGTTGAGCTGAGCTGTGCTGTTGAGTTGTAAGTTGATTGAGCTGTGATGATGAGTTGTTGATCACTAGGACTAGAGGAGATGTTTTGAAGTTGTTCGTCCCATTGTGTGGATTGAGATAGTTGTGGTGCTCTGAGAGCCCAATTTGTTGAAAAATCCTCCTTGGGAAGTTGTCCCTTGGAGTGGACGTTGTGTTGTTCTCCTCTAGGACTTAGTTGGTCCCGTGTGTGGGCAAGGTCAAGGCATACATTTATGAAGCGACCATAGTATAGGGGATAGGTCGAGTTATACCGATTACAAGCGGCCAATTTTAGTAAAGTACGAAGTCGGGAACTTAGTTCCTAATCGAGTATCAGAGAGTTGTAGTATTTAGAGGATAGTCGGTAGGCTAATCCCATAAGTGGCTTAGTTGAGCTAGCTAATGTCGTGGTAGGCCTAAACCCAGTTGTTCTATCCTGACAGAGTACTATACTTCCTTGTTTAAGTGGCAAAGTCAGAGAAACTTTTATCGTATTGTGGATTGATATCCAAATTTTTTGTTTACCTAGCAAGCCCAAAAAGGTTCTGTGTTTTCGATTCGGTAAGACCTAGCCACTTAGATTGCTCAATCTCAGTTGTAGGAGATCTCCGAGTTGAAATGCGTGACGACGCATATGTGTTGATGAGTTGATATTGTGATGATATGAGTTGTATATGTTGATGTGATGTGAAGGTGTTATTGAGATGTGTGTTGTTAAAGTGTTGTGCGTTGTATGTTGAACAAGTTGATGATGATGCTAGCTTCGCTAAATTACTTGTGTTGTAAGTTACTTTTAAACATGTGTTGTTGAGAGGTGTGTAATACACGTGTTGGTTGTTGTTATGATGAATATGTTAACTATTCCAATGGTTTGTACAGTAGTTATGTTGAAGTATTGATCAGTGTTGATATGTTGAATCAAGTTGAAATGATGTTAAGATGTATAGTATATGTGTTGTTTGTCTTTTGTGTCGGATGTGAAGATGATTATATAGTTGTTGTGTTGCATATTTAATTACTGAGTTGTTTATTGTCTCTAGCTTACCCTTGCATGTTTTCATGTGGTTTGGACTGTAATGATCATATGATGTATGGGAGCAGGGCAGGGATAGGCTAGTTGATAGCTGTTAGAGGCCACAGGAGGTGTCTAGAGTTGGATTTTTTTTGTATGCTACCTTATAGTAGCATATTTTGTTGTATATAACTGGTTGTTGTTGGTTGCTTGATTAGCAACTTGTGTTGTAAATATTTTATTATACTATTTTAGTATATATATTTCAATAGTGTGTAGTATTGTTTCGTAGTGTGACGGTCTTGGCGAGTCGTTACAGATTGCACTTAGACTATCACAAAATAGGGTAGCTTTCTTTTGCAGAAACCTTAGATTATTGATAAGACCCTTTAGTGAAATGCCTTCCTTTGCTGCTTTAGCCAAAGCCATCTACCCAACTCCGACTGTTGACAAAGAAATTGTAGGTTGAAGAGTTGTTTTCCAACTAACAATGGAATTGCCAATTATAAAAGCATACCCTATCACCGACCTTCTTGTGTCCAAATTAATCAATAACTTAGTCAACGTCTGAGAAACCAATAAGTCCATAGGAAACATCACTCTTGTAGATGAATCTAGTGTTAGTTTTACCTTTTAGGTACCTGAAGATACGTTTCACTACTTGCCAATGTTCCTTCCTCGAATTGTGCATATACCAACTCACAGTACCAACAACTTGTGCTAGGTCTGGTCTAATGCACACCATTGCATACATAAGACTTCTACTGCATTGGTGTAAGGAACACAAGACATGTAATCCTTCTCCGATTCAAATTGAGTAGGACTCAACTCAATGAGACAAATGGACATAGTCAACGAAATACATACTAGTTTAGCAAACTCCATTCCAAATGGTTTCAACACCTTTTGAATGTATTTCATTAAACATAAGAAAACATTATTTTGGGCATGATTTTGTCTGGTCTTCATGCCAAAAATCTTTTTAGTTTCACCCATATCCTGCATCTCAAATTCACTATTGAGTAGTTTTTTGATATTATCAATATGTCGTCCACATATAAAAGTAAATAGATCAAAGAATCATGCTCCACCTTCTTATGATAGACACATGTATCATAAGAACTCCTACTATATACCCTTTAGAGACAATAAACAAATCAAATCTCTTGTACCACTATCTAAGGGATTGCTTCAATCCATAAAGCAACCTCTTCGACTTGCAAATCTTGTCCTTCTTACCTCATCCCTCAAAACCTTCAGGATATTTCTTAAAAATTTCTTCATCCAACATCCCATTAAGAAATGTTGTCTTTATATCAAGTTGCTGCAACTCTATGTCAAACATTGCTACAAGAATGAGTAAAACCTTGATGGATGTATGTCTGACTACAAGAGAGAACACCTAACTATAGTCCACACCTTCCCTCTAACTATAACCTTTAGCCAGTAGACAAGTTTTATACTTGATGGCTTTAGCTTCAAACAATCCAAACTAGACGAACCAACACACAATCTTCCAACAAACAACCTTGTGGGTGATCCATATGTCATCTTAAAGATCCACTTTCATCCAACAAACCTCATATCTTTAGGTAACTCTACCAAATCCTATGCTTGATTCTTCTAAAGGGATTTCATCTCCTCATTCATAGCCTTAATCTACTTTCCAGACTCAACACAAGTGATTACCTCATGTACTATGACTGACTCAAATGTGTTGACTTTTTTTGTTACCTACAAGGCATAAGACACCATGTTTTAAAAACCATATCTCACAAGGGCGCGCCTTGACTTGTCTCTCAAACCTTTGAATATTACTTTTCTACCTTGGACGATCTTCATTAGTCTGCCCCTTAGCAGACTCTGACTATTGATGGATGTACTCTTGAACCTTTTTCTTTTTGAATGATTCATTATGAAACCCCACCTTTTTATCAACCTATTGAGGTTGACTCAGACTCTCTTCAGACTTCAAACATAGTAGAGATTGTTCATCAAATGTAACATTTATACTTAGAATAACCTTCTTCTTTGAAGGTGACAAAATTCTAAACCCTTTAACTCCACTTACATACCCCACAAAAACTACTCCCTTCTTGGCTCTTGGTTCTAGCTTACCTTCATTCACATGATAGTAAGTTGGACACCCAAACACCTTCAACACGGAATAGTTAAACACCTTCAACACGAAATAGTTAGTAGTTTGTTAGACCACAACTTAATTGGGGTCATGAACCCAATGGTAGTTGGACGAAGAACAGTTCACCAAAAACAAGTAGTACTAATTTCCTCAGCCCCAAAACTCTTATTCATACCAAAATTCAACATGCACCTAGCCTTTTCCAATAAGGTTCGGTTCATCCTTTCAGCTACTCCATTCTATTGTGGAGTATAAGGAGCAATGTGTTGTCTAACAAAGGCTTCATCTCTACAAATTCATTAAATTCCTTATAGATGAACTTAAGGCCATTGTCCCTTTATAAACGCTTAATTAACCTTTTTTCTCATCTAATTCTGCATAAGCATTATCTAGTGCTTAAAATATGAGAAAAATTTAAATTTCTATTTCATCGTGAACAACTATGTCATCCTTGAGTAATCATTAATGATAAAGACAAAATACCTTGCACTCGTAGAGATAGAACTCGTGATGGGCCCCAACTATATAAATGGATGCAGTCCAATGTAGCCTTAGTTCTGTGAACTACATTAGGAAACTTTAATTTTTATTGCTTCCCAAACATGCAATGTTCAAAAAATCGAAGAGGGTTCCATCTAATGGTTACCTAGTAACCTCTACTTGCATAATATCTACATTCCCTTCTTAGACGTGTGGCCCAAACGCATATGCCATAAAATGTTCTCAAACTTTTCAAATACAAATGAAACAACACCTGTCACAATAGAACCATGAAAGATGTAGAGATTTCCTTGCTTGGTTCCCTACATTACCACAAATTTTCTCTTCCCCCTAATGTGCATCATTCCACCTTTAACACAACAACTAAAACCTTTCATATCTATTGTTCCTACGAAAATAAGGTTTTTCTTAAACTCCAAAACATACCAAACATTGGTCAATGTTATCACAACTCCATTCATTTTGATTCATATAGACCTAATGCCCACGGTCTTACATGATGCCTCATTTCCCATCAAGACATTACCACTGAACCAATCTTTATGTGGACTCATGAAAAAAACAACCTAAGTCAAGAACCCATTATTTAGAATGATGTAGATGATCATCAATATAGATCAACAATTCAAACTCTGATGATGTATCATTCTAAATAGTGGCAACAACAAAATTTTTGCTCCTATTCTTAAGACAATCATTCTTCTAGTGACCTGGTTCTTTGCAGTAATGACATTTGTCATTTTGGTAGACCTTATGCTTTTTGTTCCATTTCCCCTTCTTCTTTTTATACCCTTTAATAGGATTGGACACAATTAGTCCAAACATAGACGCAAACGCTAATAGTTTGCCACCATTATCAAATGCTCTATGTCGAAGCTCTCTTGACTACATTGAACTTCGCTTCTTCTAATGTGATGCATTCTTTCTCAATGTTGAGAGAACTTACAAAGTTCTCATAGAAAAGGGGGAGAGGCGCTAACAAAATCATAGCTACATCTTTGTCTTCCATTTTCATGTAAATATCACAAAATTCCAACAAAATAGAATTCAATTCATCATAAAGGCGAACCTTCCTTCATACGAAGACTAAAGAGTCTCCTATTTAGAAACAACTTGTTGCATATAGACTTCATCATAAAAAGTTTTTCCAGCTTCGTCCATAACCCTAAAGCAATCTGTTCTTTCATGGCTTCTTACAAAACTTCATCACCCAATGAAAGAAGGATCAAAGAATGTGTCTTTTCTTCTTTCTTTTCAAGAATAAATTTTTCCAAGTGTGGTGTGATCTTGGAGAAAGGTACTCAAATGCCTTGTTCCTTCAACAAAACTTTCATCACGATACTAAATGATGGGGTTATTTTATGATATTTGTCTGAGAGGATATTTTATAAGAATTATTTTTATCAGAGGAGCATGATATATATCATAAAATAACCTCATCAGTGGTATCAGAGCTGTAGGTTGGATTTGGTGACAACCAATAACCCTTACAAAAAAATTATAATGATAATGTGATATATAAAGACAGATTCCGCTGTATGAAAGGTTAGGTCCCTTGTTTGAGGGGAGGATTGTTGGGATACAAACAAGTCCCTCATCGATAAAATAAGATAACAAATAACAACTTATATAGCACAAACATATTTCAATGATTGAGAGACCTTTTGGGTAATGACCAAAAGCAAAATCGTGAGGACTTAGGCCCAAAGCGGACAATATTTCATCATTGTAGAATATGTTTGTGTAATAACCTTATAAAAATAACTCTTATAAAATATCCCCGTAAACAAATACTATAAAATAACCTCAACACTAGTTTGTTGTGCGAGATTGAAATAAACAAATAACACAAAAATAAGAAGAAAAAAAACACATAAAACGAATGAGAATTACACTAGATGATTACTAGGTGATCGTGTACACTTTTACACCGATGTTTGCTAGTTCAGTCTTGTCTACCCTTACAATACGTCCCATATTTATAGGATTATAACCGACTAAGTAACTTAACAAAAATGTAAACTAAGTAACGAAGTAAGAAATACGTCTCATAGTTAACAAAGTTCATTTATAATTTGTGAAAAGCAATGAACTATATATGCACAAATTTTTTAACTTCATTGCAGGATCAGTAACATGTGAGCATATAGAAGCTGCCTGTCTAGAACCTTGCACACTCGCTTGCTTCAGAGACTGTATTTTACGTGGTTATAGAGCGGGAGGCTTTTGTTTGGGAATTTTATGTTGTTGTGCGCCATAATGATTACTTTTGAGCCCTCTCTAAAGCATGAAAAAATAAAACATTGGTTGCTTAAACCAATTTGCTACCAATCTAAAATAATGTATTCTCGACCGTGGCTATAATTAAGAATGGAAGTCCTTAATTGTCTTAGATTTGTTGTCTTTTGTTGCCAGAAGAATTTACCCCCATGAAAAAAATATAATATAGTAGCTTATGTTAAGAGCTTATGTAGTAGCTTTAATATGTGTGTTTGTTCATTTATTTTATATTTATCAAACTTTCAAAAGAAATTAATTCTCATATGTGATAAAGAATACTCTTTAATAACAAATTAATTTTTTTAAAAATTTTAATTTTTGATAAAATAAAATTTTCAGTATATATATTTACCTTTTGTACTTTCTATTTATGTATACATTGATTAAAAAATCAAAATATTAAAGATTGTAAGATTGTATACGTTGATTAAAAAAATCAAAATGAGAAAGATTGGAAGATTTATGTTCTATTTAAAAAAATTATTATAAAATATGTTTTGAAATAAATTATCATCTAAAATATTTTACTAGATATTAAAAAATGTTTATATTATAAATAAATTAAACTTGATTTTTATACAATTTAACATATTTATTTTAAATTTTTATTAGTATTAAATTAGTATAAAGTATATTAACTTTTAGGATTGCAGTTTTAACCAAACATTTAAAAAATATCTATAAAAGATAAATAAATCATATTTAGGACATGTATTTTTTTTTTAAAAAAAAGTTAGGTTTCAACTTACTAAATTATAATATAACATAGTCTGACCTAACTTATTTTTATCCTTAATCATAATCATAAATATAAAAACTTGTAAAAAATAATTATAATATATATTTATATTTTTAAAAATTATATATAAAATTTTTAATACTATAAATATATAAATAAATATTGTCTCCACTATCTAAAATTTCTAGATTCGTCACTGGAAATCTTTTATTAGCATGAAAACAACTACATGTCGTGATAACAATCAAAGGTAAGAGAAAATTATATATAAGCGAATCTGAATAGCACAAAATTAATTTCTTAGAACTATATATTACAATGTTATGGATCTTTTATGCATAAACTTAATTTTATTGATCTCATACATTTTTAATTAACACATTTTGTATCAACTTCACTCTTAAAAAAAAAATCTAATTTTGAAATTTTTTTCTTATAATAGCCAATAAATTATAATTTTTAATTTACTAAATTGAGAAAATATATATTTAAAATAATTTTATTTCACCTATCATATGATGAGCATATTTTTCTACCGATATGTAATTATTTAATGTTAAGATAATTATTAAATGCTAGATTGATAAAGTAAAAAAATAATTTAGGAAGAAGTGAATGCTTATATATTAAATACGAACTATAATCTTATATGAGAGTGTATTTAAGAATTTTTTTTCACTGAAATTTTTTTAAAATATTCTTTATTTTTTGTCTAAGTCATTTTTTGTTTATCATAATGATTTATGAATTAAATTTTAATATTTTAAAAATAAATTATTAATAAATAAAAATAATCTTGTGATACAACACAAATTTAAATTATTATCATAAATCTAAAATCAACCCATCATGTCCCTATATATTAAACATGAATCTCTATCTTATACAAGAACATTTTTAGAGATTTTTCTTTAATGAGTGATTTTTTAAATTTTTTTTAAATTCTTATTTAATTTGGTTAAAATAAATTATTAATAATTAAAAAAATAATATTGTGCTACAATATAAATTATTTACAATAAATTTAAAATATAATTTATATGTTGCTATCAAAAAATATATAATTTATATGTTTAAAGATATCTATTTATCCAAATTTTAAATATTATTTATATATTCAAATATAACATTTATTTATATTTATAATTTGTTATAAATTTTAGTTATATAGAATAAATAGTTTGCTTGTGCATTGCATATAACACTCTACCTCTCATATCTTCATAGCATATAATTCAATAATTGTAAAAAGAGTTTTTCAATTAATTCTACTATATAAAATAAAACCTCGTAGAAGTATCACATTATAAATAAAATCAAACAATAAGCAAACTATGTTACATTATGACCAAAACCAACAATAAGCAAACTATATTTCAGATAGTAATTACAATAGAATAAGAATTAAAACTAATATTAATTAAGCTAATTAATAGGAATAAAATGTTTAACTTAAACAATCAACTGAAAACATAAAATCCTATCTACTACCTAATGTCACTTTCTACCGGAACACTCTCAATGCAAGGTTTAAACCTTGTCTATAACCTCATCATTCTCATAATAAGTCTCACATGCAACCATACACCAAAACAAATAACAAAAGATATGTCAACACACTGTTCAATAGTACGCATTTCAGCATTCACAACTTACAACCAAACCAAGATACAATTGTTATGTTATGGTAATGTAGTGGACAAGGACATTCTTAAACTATATGTGTGTGATGTCAATAAAAATGATTGTAAATTGTCAACTATTGTCTAAAGGCTAAAAAGAGTAGCATAGGAGAACATGTTAGGTCATGTCATCTAAGCACTCTACACTAAAAGAATATATATTAGGACACATTGGAATAATTAGTGATGTTGGCCAAGTTACACCCCGTGTACACAATTGGCGAAACTAAGGCTTCCAAACCTAGCTATTCCCAAGGTCGTGAATCCCTAAGCTTTTGTACAAAGGGAACCTTTCTTGATGTCGTATTCCACATTGAACCCATCACAAAAACAACTAATACACATAATGCATGTCATATCATACTCTGCATCTTCATATTCAACTCATTCATCATAATATACTCATCATATGTATTATATGATGAATTAGGCTGACTTGTTTAAAACATCAACCCTTAGTTAGCCAAGTTGGATGAATCGAGTTGACTCACTTTAACATTTTTAATTTTTTTTTCTTAAAATCAATATTGATAGTGGCTCTTTATTTTTAACTTATTTTCGTAAACTCATGGCAACCTTGGTTGCTACACAATTCTTAAAGAAGAAGATGCAAGAGAAAGAAGAAAGAATTTGTGTGTGCGTATATTGAGAGAGAGAGAATTTAGAAAAACTTGCAAACGAAGCTAAACTAAATTATGAGAAATTGAAGGTTTAGATATTTTTTTGTTTCTAAAATATTTCTAATTTTCCTTTTGATCCCTAAAAACTTTTTTCTTAACTTTTGGTCTTCGTAATTAATTTTTTTTTTTTTAGTCTTTACCATAACTTTTTTCATTATTTTGGATGACATGTTAAACATTTAGGCATTGTTTCAAGTGAATTTAAGCTACTTGATGTTTAACATGTCATCCAAAATAATGAAAAAATTCACGACAAAGACTAAAAACAAAAAAAAAATTACAAGAAGAAAAAGTTAGGCAAAATTTTTTTAGAGACTAAGAGAGAAAAACATGTATATTTCAAAGACCAAAAAGATATTTAAACTCAAAATGAATCAACAGTGAACAACTCAAGTCATCAATAACTTATTTATAAAGACCTAAAATTGTGGCCAAATCAAAAACAATTATAAAGCCTCTAATTATCTAATTAACGATTTATTTTTTTTCTAAGGTGAATTTCAGCCCAAGTGTAGAGGCAGCAACTTCATATGTGATTTGGGCTTGAAAAATTATGAATTGGCTCCGCTTATGAAAGATAACTTTGTAGACTTTGTTATTAGCTTTCCATAACTACTAATATTGTCCAATTTTGAGATATGTATAGTTTTAGATATTCTTTGTACAAGACACTATCATCAAAGTGAGAAAATTTCTAAAAATTAACTATAAATAATAATTAAAACCAATTAAACTCCTATATCAAACATAATAAATATATTTATTTTAGAAAAATATAAAGGCCAACTTAAACCCAATATAATATATAAATAAATGTATCAAATATTTTCTATCAGTGATACTACGACATGATATTACATTGATTGTTTTACATTCGATTGCAATAACTTTTGTACATAATTTTTTATTTATTAGCAAAATAACTTATTAATAATACAGTAGCTAACTATATAATATGCACAAGCAAGAAGTGCCCACTAGTTGCTAAAGCATTCTCATCGAAAGAGAAAACACTCCCCACATATAGCAAAACGAACCAGACGAGTTCACCTACAAAACTAACCCTACCCAACCATTTGTAGTTAATGAAATTATTATACCAAAGTTAATGAAGGAATGTAGTTAATTAAACTGTTTTCCTTTTGTAACCAAAGATTCCCTTATTTCTGTTCCTTTTCTTCTTTGGTTAAATGCCAATTTTATTCTATATAACTATAGGTGAGCGTGCTCATACCATTGTTTTGTTGTTTGAGCACTTTGTTAAATTCAGGCTTTTTTTTCTTCTGTGTTCTTCTAATTGGTTAGAGTACACAAAATGTAGACGACACTTTTTCTTGGGTGGAATTTTTTTTTGGATATAATTTCCTATATTAGTTACTTTATTCACTTATTATACTACTATTCCTTATCATTTTCAGAAAAGACAGTAATTGCACAATATACCATTTACCCTTCTCTCTCTTTTATGTTACAATTTTATTAATTTTGTTTTTCTAACTTCTGTTCAAACTGATGATATATATATAAGGGTCATCCTCTTATCTTATAACCATCTTCATTACAAGAGAGAAGAACATACGAGAGTTCAAAGGCGAAATCTTCATAAAATGGCTTTCCACGTCAGTCACTCTTTTTTCTTTGGAATTTTGTGCATTGCTTTGCTCCTGATTTCAGGTAATATATAGAGGTTATAATTTCATTTCGTCTCATGAGTTCTTTTTTACTACAAAAAAATTAATTAACGGAAATATGAAAATATTTCATATCATTTTAGTGTTATTTCTTCTTCGTCTCAATTTATCTATGAAACATTTTGAGTTGTTTTTTAGTTTAAAGCAAAACATTTTGATGTTAGGCAAGTAACATCCATTAACAAAAAGTTTGATAAATTTTTAACGACTAAGATCAAAAAAAATTTAAGGAATGACTATATATTAAAATATACTAATTGGGGGAGGGGGCTCAACCAGGAAACAGCAAGAGCATAAAATGTGCTGAATTTCATTCCATTGAATAAACTGATCCTTAATTCTTTCTCCAAATTTACAATATCAATATATTAGTTATTCAAATACTTTTGTCGTTAAATAAGTTCCTTAAAAGGTTAGGTTAACATATTATCATATTAATCTTCTAAACCATCTTAAATGATGCAAGTAATGAGGAATTCAAGTGGCTTAATCATGAAGTGGTTACTGATTGAATCCTAACTCTTGACAATACAAAAAAAAAAAACAAAATTCAAATTGGGAGAGAATACCCACTTATTTGTTACTTGTCAAACTCTTATAGAGATTGTCCTCAAATTTGATGAGAAATAGTCCTTATTAATGAAAAAAAATTAAGATTTTATTATCATATTGATCGTTATAAAAATATCAACGCCATTGTATTCGGTTTGTTAGATGATTGTAAGGTGGTAAAACAAAACGACTACTTAGTGAATGTTTACATTAATTTTTCGATAGACAAAAAAAAATTATCCATTGAAAAAGTACGTAATGTAATGACATTTATTCTTTAAAATATGAATTAGATGAGAAAAAAAAAGGTTGTAAAATATTACTCATATAAATGTTTTGACAAGATCTCATAATCATTAATTTCATATCATTGATAATAAGGTGATTTATATTTAGTGAAAAGCAATGAGCTAAATGCATGAATTTGTTTGTTAACTTCATTGCAGGAACAGTAACATGTTTAGACTGTATAGGAACTTGCTCAGCAAGTTGCAGCCAAGAGTGTGTTATGCGTGGTTATGCAGGTGGAGGCCATTGTATCGGATCTGTAGCATGTTGTTGTTTGAGAAATTGATTACTTTTGACCCCTCTCTAGAGTATGAAAAATAAAACATCGGTTGCTTATTGCTACCAATCTAGAATAATGTATTATCCGTGGCTATAATATTAATAATGGAGGTGCTTATTAATTGTCTCGGATTTGTTGTGTTTTGTTGCAACAACAATTTACCCCCTCTCCAAAGCATTAAAATATATATATATAACATAGTATAGGAGCTTAAATTTCGAATGGGTTACCAATGCATGCAATATGAAATCAAAAAATCATTCTCCATATATATTTTTTAAAACTTAATACCAGCATTATATAAAATTACTTTCTTAATTTTTTTAATCGTGAATTAAAATATCATTAAGAAAAGTCTATTGACATATTCAATTCTAATAAATGAAACAAAAAAAAGTATATAAATTCATGGATCAAGAAAAAGCGTAGCCAACCGGTAATTTGTCATTTTGCTTTTGATTGGTGACTATATATCAAAAAGGGTTTTTTTTTTATTGTAGGAAAATCCACACATGTCGTGATAACAATCGAAGCTAATTATATATATA